TTTTTTTTTTTTTTTTTTTTTTTTGAGTATTTTGATGCTATTTTTGGCCTTAATTATGAGCTATTATCATTCTTGTGCAAATCTTGAACTTGTTTTGTAAGTCCATAACAAAAAGTTGCTTCTTTTAGCATGTGGGTGAGCCTTAGGACAAGAAAGATTTATTTTTTCTCTGTTTACATCATTGTAGAACAGACTTTAGGAAGATGTGTGTGTGTGTGTGTGTGTGTGTGTGTTGATGTCTGTTAAAAGCTCTTTCCTTTAATCCTCAAATATGATTGTTTGCTCTCAAAGATTTCACTTTGATTCTACCGATGATTCTGTTATTGCAGTGCATTGGATTGGAAATTTGGTGCCGAAAAATTTGTCCAGAGGCTTCCTGATGAAGTTTACGTTCACTGTAAGTCGTGCATTTCGTATATAATGTGGTGGGTTTTTGTGTTCATTTGGTAACATTTTTGTTTTCTATATGCCATATAGATCTTTTTTCCCACGAGGAAATGAGTAAATTTAGATTCCATGTTCTGTTGTTGTATCCTTTCTAGTGATAAGCATGTTGCAATGTTAAAAAAATTTCCTGTTGGGAGCTTTATGGTATGATAGCTTAACTCCTTTAGATATGCTACAGGACCTTGCAAAACACACCCGAGCTTGACAATTTGTGGCATTTAAATGCATTAAACCTCTGCATGTTCATTCATGACCCCTAAAATTTGTCAAGTGCAGTTCACTTTTTGGGACAAACAAAGATGCATGCCAGTGTAGGTTTTCGAATCAATGTATATAAATCAACTCATGGATCTAAACGTGCAGAAGTATTTTTCCGCTTTTTCCCATTTCTTTGCTTTGGCCTTGGTTCATCTCTTCTTTGGATTTATATTTAGTTTAGAGCTACTTTAGAAAATGCAGGCTCCAGAATTTGCTAAATTTCTATTTTTGTTAAATTTTCTTTCTAATATTCTGGCTACAAAATTGCTTATAACAAGTTCGATTTTCATTATATGTAAATGAGGTTGGTACTCCTAAGTCCTAACCAGTGAAGTGAACACATGATAGTATATTAGATTGGGTGATGTTGTCAAATTTCTTTTCTGTGAGGGATCGTTGGAATTTCATTACTTTCTCGAAAATTCTCCGCTCTATTTCAGCTTGCACTAATATGCACCACTCATACTCTTGAACTTCATCTCTGCTCTACTCGAGATTCTTTTTTTTTTTTTAATTTATTTATTTAAATTTCAATGAGGTTATTATTTCATTTTCAGTTTCTTCTTTACAAGTGAAATAAATATTGCAGGTAGCGAACGGAATGCAGCAAAATTGACATTGGATGGTGTTGATGTTATGGGCGAGCGACTGGCTGAGGAGGTTGGGTTTTGTTGTCCTATGTATTCTTTGAAGTGAAATGCAACATAATTTGATTCTCATTTTGTGGTGCATTTCAGGTCCTTGAAGTAATCAAAAGAAAGCCTTCTCTGAAGAAAATATCTTTCATCGCGCATTCTGTTGGAGGGCTCGTGGCAAGATATGCAATCGGGAAGTTATATAAACCTCCTAATAAAGAAAGTGGACAAGAAGTCTCACCCAATGTTTGTACTGAAGAAGAGTTGAAGGGCACAATAGCAAATCTTGAACCCATAAACTTTATTACTGTTGCTACGCCGCACCTTGGTTCTAGGGGGAATAAGCAGGTATTTTTTTTTAAATAACTTTGTTGTGTATGTTTTGGTTGAGTATTTTTCTGCCTTTTGGCACCTTAAAGTATTAGTTTGACAGTTCAAGGGATTTTAAGGTCAGCAAGGGTTGGAATCATTTCTGGTGACCAATTAGGTGAAAATTGAGTCGGATTATTAATTTTTTCCCCCTTTTTCTGAGTATATGTGATTGATGAGTGAGAAAGTGAAAGTGAACGAACAATGCATTTCCTCTTTTTTTTTTTTTTTTAAAGCAATCACAATTTTGGGTATAAAAGTATTGCACTGGAAGAAACATGACAGCTTTTGGCAGCTGCAGCTTTGTTTTGGTTGTTGTAAGAGACTCGATTTTGAAAAAAAATCAAACGTCCCTTAGAATTTTTCACTGCCTTGTGCCAAACTTCATACCTTTGTATAACTTCAAACCTTTGTATTTTAAAATTCTAGACAAATTATGTTAGCAGAATAATTATGAGAGATGGATGGTATTATTAATTAATTTGGAATGCATATGTTGAATTTCTGTATACATTAATTCACAATATCAATTATGTCTTCTGTGGTCTGTGAGACTAACTTTTGTGATCTGCTTCGCACAGTTAAGGGCTCGATAAATAATGTCACAGCATGTTGAATATCATGTGGTGTAATTGATACAATTAACTTTTTTTTTTTTTTTTTT